TGGGGTTCCAAGGAACCTAGTCACTGGGTTCGAAGGAACCCCAGCGCTAGGTTCCAAGGAACCCAGTCGACTAGATTCCAAGGAACCCATCGCTGGGTTCCAAGGAACCCAGTGGCAGAAAATTAAAAAGGTTTTTTTTGTTTTTTTTGTTTTGTGAGTTTTGTTAATTGATGATGATGAAGCCAAAAAGATAGAGATTAGTTGAGATGTTTGGATTTGCAGGAGTTGAAGAAAGAGAAAGGAAAAGAGGAAAGGGAGGAACAAAAAAAAAATTTGTTGGAAAGAATCCGAGGTGGATTTGCTGACATGTTAAAAAATATTTAAGTTGGTGCTGACATGTAAATTTATAACGGAAATAACGATGCACATGTAGCATGTGATCATTTGACGTTAAATTTTACCTCATTTCTTCAAATTCGAAAATATTGAAGGTAAAAATTTATGTATTGTAATATAAAAGGTAAAAACCCTTAAATTCGAAAAGTTAAGGGGTAAACGGGTACCTTTGCCCGAAAATTTATAGTTCAAAACATTGATTGTTTGCCAGGTGGCACCTATGTGGCAATATATTTGGTGCGACACAGGTACCAACGTAGACTGCCGTTAGCTCCAACGACAAAACATTAACTGGTAGACCAATTTGGGCAAAAGGTACCCGTTTACCCCTTAACTTTTCGAATTTGAGGGTTTTTACCCTTCATATTAGAATACATAAATTTTTACCCTTCATATTTTCGAGTTTGAGGAAATGAGGCAAAATTTAACGTCGGAACATCACGTGTAGCACGTGCACCGTTGGCCTCCGTCAAATATACACATGTCAACGCCACCTCAGATTTTTTTGACAACTTGACATGCCAACTAGGATCCCGAAAGTCTACCTGCTACCAATTTTATTTGTGGATCCCACCACTGACTCAAGTTTGAAAAAAAAAAAAAGACAGATGAATGCCAGCAAACCGTCCGACTATTCACTTTCCTCTTCCCTTCTTCAACCATTTCTTCAACTTCTGCAAATCTCTAACATCTCAATCAATCTATTCACCTCAATCAGTTTCTACATTTTGAGTTCTTCATCATCATCAAACAACA